GGCTCGGCCGCAAAACTACTAAGAAAATGCTTCAACGAATAAAAGAAATAGTATCTTCTTCTTTTCTTGAATTTTGAGAGACATTCTTAGTAGTTTTGCGTCCGAGCCATTGTGATTTGCAACTCACGCCTTAGTAGTTTTTCATGAACTCCTTAGTAGTTTTGCGTCCAAGCCATTGTGATTTGCAACTCACGCCTTAATAGTTTTTCATGAACTCCTTAGTAGTTTTGCGTCCAAGCCATTGTGATTCGCAACTCGTGCCTAGTTTTTCGCGATATGCTTAGTAGTTTCACGTCCAAGCCATGGCGATTTGTACCTCATGCCTTAGTAGGCCTTTTATTAAGGCTTTGGGGGCGCTTCTTCTCAAAGCCTAGGTGGGCCCAAGGCCCCAAAACCGGAGCCTCAAATAAGTGGTAAAGCCCTCGGAGTATATATATAAAGGGCATGAAGCATAACCCTCCAGTAAATGAACGTAGACCCCGTCAGATAAGGGTTGGTTCATATTAGTTTCCACCAAAAATTGCCTATTTTCAGGGTCAAATTGTCGATTTACCAAAGGGTTTGACCTCATCAACAGATTTTGCAGCTGTCCAAATCAGCTATCAGCGCACTGTAGGCTGCTTTTCTTGGCAAATTCACGTTTGACCCGGACCCCTATTCAAAATAGTGTCAATGGATATCCGACCCAGCTGCAATCTCCCATCCCCACAGCAAACACCGCCAGAAACCATGCAAAAAAAAATGGATGGCAATTTGGAGTTCCATTTTTTGGGGGTATTGAATGGTAAGCTGGCTTAGTTGCGTCACCATTTCCACTTTTAGTTGGTTTAACCTCCCATTTTCGCCCTGAAGAGTCCCCATTCTTGTCGCTTGGATAGCCTGAAAAATAAATCAGCCTATCCCTAGTTTGCAAAACTTTTAAACAATTAGAATCTTATACTTGGGTTTTCATCGAAAGACTTCATTTTGGTGGTTTGATAAATTTAATCCCGCTGTTTACTGGCAAATTAGCTAGGAAAATACTCTATCAATGATATACCCTTGAGTTAACTAATATTATAGAAGTATTAGTTGAACTACTTGGTTAGATTATTGACTTTCATGTTTCACTCTTAATTATCAACTCGCACCTATTATATATATATATATTCATTTGTTTATTTATTTATTTGTTTATTCATTCATTTATTAATATATTCATATATTTATTTAGTTATTTTTCCCGAGAGCGTCTGAGCGCAGGGTTCTTCCAATAGTGGGGGTCTGTAAAACATCTTCTCATCTTCACATCTTCTCATCTTCACATCTTCTCATCCTCACATCTTCTCCTCATCTTCTCATCTTCACATCTTCTCGTCTCCTCATCTTCTCATCTTCACATCTTCTCATCTTCACATCTTCTCATCTTCACATCTTCTCATCTTCGCATCTTCTCATCCTCACATCTTCTCCTCATCTTCTCATCTTCACATCTTCTCGTCTCCTCATCTTCTCATCTTCACATCTTCTCATCTTCACATCTTCTCACATCTTCTCACATCTTCTCACATCTTCTCACATCTTCTCACATCTTCTCACATCTTCTCACATCTTCTCACCCCTCCACTCACATCTTCTCACGCCTCCACTCACATCTTCTCACATCTTCTCACATCTTCTCACATCTTCTCACATCTTCTCACATCTTCTCACACCTCCACTCACATCTTCTCACATCTTCTCACATCTTCTCACATCTTCTCACATCTCCTCACATCTTCTCACATCTTCTCACATCTTCTCACATCTTCTCACATCTTCTCACATCTTCTCACATCTTCTCACATCTTCTGATCTTCACATCTTCTCATCTCACATCTTTTCCTCTTGCCCTCTTGCCCTCTTGCCCTCTCCTTCTTTTCTATTTCTCTTTTGAAGGCGGGAGCAGGGGCAGTGCCAACGAGACGGCACGAAACGCAACCCTTTCGCACGAAATGAGGGTCGATCGTCAAAAACTGAGGTAAAATTGCGATTTTACTTGTGCTGGAGCAACCCTTTCGCACGAAATGAGGCTCGATCGTCAAAAACTGAGGTAAAACTGCGATTTTACTTGTCCCGGAGCAACCCTTTCGCACGAAATGAGAGTCGATCGTCAAAAACTGAGGTAAAATTACGATTTTACTTGTGCTGGAGCAACCCTTTCGCACGAAATGAGGGTCGATCGTCAAAAACTGAGGTAAAACTGCGATTTTACTTGTCCCGGAGCAACTCTTTCGCACGAAATGAGGGTCGATCGTCAAAAACTGAGGTAAAACTGCGATTTTACTTGTCCCGGAGCAACTCTTTCGCACGAAATGAGGGTCGATCGTCAAAAACTGAGGTAAAATTGCGATTTTACTTGTGCCGGAGCAACCCTTTCCCACGAAATGAGGGTCGATCGTCAAAAACTGAGGTAAAGGTGCGATTTCCGGGTTCCCGTTGCAACCCTTTCGCACGAAATGAAGGTCAATCGCTAAAAACTGAGATAAAATTGCAATTTCCGGGTTCCCGTTGCAACCCTTTTGCGCGAAATGATGGTCGATCGCCAAAAACTGAAGTAAAATTGCGA